CAACCCCTTGGACAATTACCAATATTTAAAAGCATTAATTTCCCTAACACACAAACTTCCATACATACATAAAAAAATCCCTTAATTTTTTATTTGCATTTCTCGACATACGTTTTAAGTATCCTTGAGTCCAAAATTGTAAAAATGTTGGGAGGCATTTTTTGACCGATCTCCATGCCTTCCCACTGTTATAAATAACAGCAAGAAAGGTAAAACTGAAATTGAAGTAAATCATTTGTTATAAATCGCTCTTAATAAAAATGTACTCGATCTTACGTTTAATAGATAAAACATATCACCAATAATTTATAATTTTATTTCGTTATATAATATACAGTGACTTTAGTTTATTAGGTTTTTAAAAATGCTATATTATAAACGAATCAATTTGCAGAATTATAACACACATATATATTGGTACGCGCGTAAGGAAAGCGCTGAGTAATATATATAATATATATTTATTTATTTTACATACTACGATTTATGTATATTAAATAATCAATCCATAAATAATATTTTATAAATACAGTAACAAAATAATTTATAAGGAAACAAGTTAAAATGCAGTTTATTTATAAAATAGTGTGGAGTAAATTAATACAAAAATAACAACACAAAATATAATACAGGCATATAAATTAATATACTACGAGTGAATCGCTAATCGAACCTCGACGTTTCGTAAGACGGAAAATGGTTTGGTTTATTTATGGGAACGCGACACTTGAGTGATTTGCCTAGAGTGGAATGCCTTCTGGGAGGTCTTATTTAATTAATGGAAACTGGCCTCTATAGGCGTTAAAAACATAGAAAAAACCCAGAAAACTCAATGTCTAAACTACCAGTGTTCAGGTAACGAAACCGATAGACCACTGATGAGCCGTAAAATATTTGACTTTTTGATACTTCGGATTTTTCTTAAAAGTTTGTCTTTCTTCGAAGCAATACAGTACTTCATTTTTCTCTAATACGTCTCTGTGAGAGCCGGGATGAGATAAAATTTTTATTTAAACACAACTTTATTATAAAAAATTAATTAAAAATAACGTTAAAATTTCTTATATCAAATAAAGAAAAATCTTTCAACATTGAATAAAAAAATGAAAAGATGTGATCGCATCTTTTCCTGGAATTACTTCCCTTCAAAAGCTGACACGTATGTGTCAACAGGAACTTTCATCCAAAATTCATTTATTGATCAAAAAAACCTAGCATTGCATAATAAGGGCATCGAAGATAAGGAGAAGACCCCGAAATTAAAGACGAACATCAGAACGGACAAAGGTGGTTCGGCGATGGAGCACTCACGTGTAAAGGAGGAGGTGCCGACTTCCTTTTTTACAAGTGAGTGTTCCATCGCCGATCTCTTCGACCGCCGTTATCCGTAGACGCTTTAGTAACGCTACATTTGATTGTGAACTGTATCATCAAGGAGCCCAATTTTACCCAACCAAGAAACCTCTTTACCACGTCATCAGGACGTTCGCGACCTCAAGACTTCGATCAAGCCGATTCTATCGATCAAGGTATTTAGCATCGCGCGTAATGATGTACGCTTTGTATCGCGACTAGTAACCCGTCAACTTAGTATAAAGCCTAATCAATGATGTTACGCTATATCAGCCTTATCCAGCATGTTACGCTACATAAGCTTCATTTTTTTTGATGCTATAGAAAAGCGATAACAAAACTCTCTGTTATCTTATGTAAACGTGTTAATAGTTTATATAGCGGCCGGATGGCCGACTGATCAATGTGGCAGCCTACTGCACTGGGGGACCCGGGTTCGAATCCGAACGGGTCGAAACATCCTCAGGAAATTTTGGGAAATGGTCCATTCGGATATGTCGGGCCCCGTCCCTCACCACTCGGCAGCCCCATTGTGGGCTTGGCCGAACCCATAACGGGTTTGCAAAAAGACGCCCTCTTAGTGCTGACACGTCGGAAAGAGTTAAAACAAAAATAGTTTATATAACTAAACCGGTATAATTTCTTCATAATTGAGTTGTAGTGTGCATTTCTTAGCCTTCTCTCTTAGACATCTAACCTCCCGAATCTGACCGCTCACACACGCGTCTGCTCGCACGTTAACGAACGAACCGCGATCGCCGATCTTGACGAAGTCACAGCCGATCGGGTACCGACAGTCTGCTCACATCTGTTCATATTCAAGAAGGTAAGACATCTTATTGTATTAGATCTACAATCTTAATTTTACAAGGAGGTGGCTTTTTAACTACTAGAAGTTCTACAAAGACAGACAGCGCTGAATATATGGCACTCAGAAACTGTAACAGAATATTAAAAAATCATCATATATATCGAAAGACAATTCTGTATTAAACACGAATTATAAAAATACGAATTGATTTGTGTACTGTACATGCAATTATAAATCATATTTNATTAGAATCTTAGTAACATTTTACAATGTTTAAACAAAACGACATACGCATGTCAATTAGTCAGTCTAAGAACCAAACATTTTTTCCTCAATTTTTGTAGGAATTTCTGATTCTTTCAGTGACTAATTTATATGCGTATCTCGTTTTGTTTAAAAATTTTAAAATATTATAATTTTAAGAGTTTTTATAAATAAAATAATATTTTAAAATAATCGCAGCATCTGATCAAGAAAATTAATACGTTCTCTATGTTCACAATATAGAAATTTTGAGATTATTTATTATTTCTTCAGATATTCACTAAAATGCAAAGATTTTTTTGAATGGAGTAGAATGAATAATCTTAGAAGAGCTCAATCTTAGAAGAAATCTTCGTACTTCTAAAATATGTTCTTTAAAATGTAATGTTAAATCTCTTTAGCCCACCAGTGGCCGAGCGGTCTTCGTACACTAAACACTAGGAGTTCGGTCGTGAGTTCGCGCCGCGATCAGACAGGCTGGCTGCTTGGAGTTTTTCGGGTTTTCTCCTTGCCGATAACGACTAAATAGAAGGCCAGTTCCTTATGAAAGTCCTCCCGAAAGGCATTCTATCCCTCGCGTAAAATCGCGCCCCAGAGAAGGCAACGAGAAACCACTCTGGGTACTAACTTTCCCTAGTAAACACCTTGGCGTATTATTAATCTGCGCCGAGTGTCGCCGACGTCAGTAATCAGTAATCTGATATTGCACGAAGAAGAAGAAATCTCTTTAAAATGATTGACAAAGAATAGTGAAGTTAAGCATAAAAGTACTGAACAAATTTGAATTCATTGTCACAAACCAAATCCCTTCAGACAATATTTTGACAGATACTTCAATATGATCTACATATNTCGTGAGAACGGATGAGAGGGGGATAAATGAGGGGTAACCATTTCCCATCGGAGCGAGATTTTTAACCAAGATATGGGAAAAAACAGCGGATGTTCTCCTCGATGAAAGGAAATAACATTTGTCATCTAGTTTTTCCCACGTCTAAAACAATATTTTTCTCACCAAAACGAAGTATTATTTGGTGACATTATTTAAGCATATTTAATAAAAATTATTAAATGAGGCCTAGGGCCTTCCGGATCTCACACATTGTACAAGAATTGCAGACGTTTTTTTCTGCATCCCCTTATAGATGAGACACACTAAATTGTAATATCACTAGTTTAACATTGAAATCTGTAAGTAATACAAGATAGGAAAGCAGAGTACATATATCAAATATTTTAATGGTTTTTTAATGGATTTTTTTAAAACTCCTGTCAACTATACAAAATTGTCATAAAAACATACCAGTAAACTTAACCCATCCTGTCGGTTGGGTTCAGTTATAAATCTGCATAATGGGGCGAGGGAGGCCAAATATCTAGCAAGCAGGCAGCTAACAGCCCAGAACCAGTCCTGGATAGAATCATTGGGTGCGTTTACTTTTTGCTAGCTTCAAAGCTCACCAAGCTGACTCCTAGCGCAGCCTGACGTCATACTAGCACGCTCGTAAAAGTATACACATTAATGGACGCCGCATCTTTGAACAAACTCCAAGCTCGTCGTAAATTCTGCGAGCATGCCGAGTGCCCTAGGAATGCTAGCAATGACGTCACGGGTGCAAAAAGTAAACGCCGTGCTCATTGGTAGCAAACAAAAAGTATACAGGCTGAGCGCGCTAGGGGCGAGATCGGAGCTAAAAGTAAACACACCCATTGGAAGCGTTTTGGTTTGTAGCTTCCACCAGCTAAATTGCCTCAGGTTAGTGCTCTGCAAAGAGCATTCGCAAATGCCTATAATCTGCCTGCTTTACACCGTTCAAATATTTTCGTGGTGGAAGCTATCCCATAATCGACAATACAGAGCTTCCGTTGAAAAACACGTGCTTTTGTTTACAATATTTGTCACTGTTATATGTTATAAAGTAATTAACAGAGTTAAATAAAAATGTAAAAAATAACAGAAAGCTGTCAATAACATAGGTATAACAGCTTAAATTAGTACAAAAACTAACAAAATAATAAAAAAAATGAACAGAAGTAACTTTTATACATTGCATTTACGCTTAAAAAATTATTATCAGAAATCATGAAAAGTATAATGGAATTATGTAATAAACTAAATAGATTTGTAATATCACAAAAATTAGCACAAAAATTAAAAAATCAGAAAAAGGAACATTTACCTGTAGGCTATAGATTACCTTGAGTGTTGTAAGAGGTATGTTTAAGTAAAAAATCGAAAATGATAAATTTATTTAAAAATAACATCCAAAACAATTTTTTGTATGTAAAATAAACACAGAAAAAAACAATCGCGAAAACTGCATAAGTCTAAGATGTATAGTTCTCAATAAAAATTTGTTCTAAACTGTTAAAGCTAACCTGCAGAAAATTCTGCAAGTATTGTCAAGAAGGTTAACCCTTTTACTCTCATATATGACGCTAAAGTTTAGATTAAAATTATTCTCAATCTGCTCAAGAAATTATACTACTATTGGTATTTTTTTTTTTTTTTTTGTTTTCATGTATAAAAACCTCCATCTTCGTTTTAACTATATATTTTCACTAATTTCAGTAATAGATTCTTTTGGAAAACTACCAGCAGGTGTGTTAGGGATGACACAATGGATACAAGGAGACTACGATCAGTGTTTGAGCATAGAAATTCCCCAAAATAAAAGGAATATTACTAATAGAGAAAAGCAGCAGGTTGGAGGGAAATATTGTGCCTTGAAAATTGCATTATCAAACTCAATAACGAATGCTACAAACTCAATTTATCGCTTTGAAAACAACTCATTGATTAAACTAGCAAAGGATATTGTTGTAAGTATCAAGCAAGACTTACATTAATACACTTTCGAGTAATTTATTAGTTGAATATATTTCATTTATTTTAAATGAACTAAATGGCTTAGTAAGCAGTTAACATTAAAACGTACTACCATATTTCATTTCTGATTTAGAAACCGGTAAAGCTTGGTGACGTCTTCAAAAATGTAGCCGAAATGAAGACGGGTATACGATTAGATGTGTGCATTCCTAATACATGCAGTGATAACGACTTGAAAAGTATTGGAAACTGGAGTAAGTAGAGTTAACATTTTTAAATTGTATCAAATACTTTACAGTTTCATTTGATCTGCAACAATTGTGTTCATTATTTATCACCGAATTACAAAAATAAATGAAAGTTTTAAACAGAGTGATTACTTCATAAAATTGTTATGTATTATACAATTTAATGTTAATGTTTTTACCAAATACAGTATTAAATAGGCCTATACATGCGTACGTATAGGTCTGTAGTGTTTTTTCTCTTGGTAATAATTTGGATTTTTGCTGTCAAATGTCGTCAAGTAAACTAGAACCCCCATTAGTTCGAATTATTTATTAATCTGAAAAACTCTACACATTAATTAGTTGAGATTACTAAAAGTTCGTGCAGTGAAGCATATACAATTTATTTAAAATCGTACTAATATTAATTTTATAAGAAACAGTAATTTTAATATATGACAAAATAGTTAACATTAGTTAATTGTTTACCAATGTTATTTCGTTAAATTATAATTGTATATAACAACATATAACAAAAATCTCTTAATAAAAAATATTTCGTTAATCATAAACTTTCGCTTATGTTTTTGAATTTATAAACATTACATGCTCTTAAATGTAAAACGTTTTCGTGTCTTTGATTGGCTGGCATTTATTTTACAAAACGTCAAGTTTTACTCTTCAATCAATGATGAAAAAAAATGCATATAAACGGTATCGAAACCTTAAATTAAAGCAATCCTTCAATTTAAAAACTTTAATAAGTTACTTTTATTTATTAAAAAACTCTATAAAACATTTTGGTTTATGAAATTGAATTCATTTTTTATCTTCTGAAACCGTGTTTTTTTAATTTCTTTGATTCACTAAAACAAGGTATGTTATCATTTCAACACTTGGCAATATTTCATCTTTATTTAGTTGACTTTATTTAGTCAACTACTGTAAAAAAAAAAAAATGGAATATCGCCAAGTGTTGAAATGGTAACAAACCTTGTTTTAGTGAATCAAAACAATTGAATTCAATTTAATTAACTTCGTTAACAATTTAACAGGTGTTTTATTTTTCATTTTCTAGTATTTGGAACAGCGGTAGATTTTAATGTCGAATATTGCAAAAGTAAAGACGAAAAACTTAAATATACTAATGGACAATTGATATCGTTGTAAGTATAAATTAATTAATTTTATCAAATTGACAAAATTAAAATATAAAAATGACAAATAGACGACGCAATATAAAACAGTAGTAAATAATAAACTTTTCGTGTGAAATGTAAGAATATATTTATTTTAAAATATATTATAATTTAATTACTTATGATGAAAGATAAGCTTAACTAGGAAAAATCCGATCTATTCTACTTTGTTCTAAAGTTTCTCTTCTTACAGAGTTAAATTTTCTTTTTATATAAATGCATCTCATACGTCTTTAACCCACCTCTTTATTATTTTGTTTTGTTTTAAACGATAAACTGTAAGTAAAATATTAGAATTATAACAATTTATTTAGAGTAATCGAGAAACAATACATAAGCTTTCAGTTATTGTTGCGTTATTATAATGTCAAACAGTAGGACGAATAAAAACGCATTACGACATGAAAATCGTTTTCATGTGGTAATAATATAAAACAAAAAATTCTTTAATTGATGAAATTTAGCGCAACATATATTTAATGTTGAACACGAATATATTAAATTTGAAATGAATATAAAAATTATAATATTCGTTTATCGTTTAGTAATTGTTAGCAATGCCTGACGTATTACAGAAAATTTATAGATTATAGAAACATTGCAATCACAGATAAGTATTGTAAGTTTACTATACGTTCTGTAATTTAATATTCGAACATCACTAACATTAAATGTGTCAAGGCAAACCTTATACTGTTAGCTTTGGCATCAAGACGTATGTTTTTATGCCAGAAGATTTGTATTTTGTATACTGATGTAGTTGTATTTGATAATCCAGCACCGCGTCGGTCACGACGATACCTTCCTTTTCAACGGAATGAAACTGTGTCAAGATAAATCAAAAGTCATAGCAAATTATCAGCCACTTAAGAAGATCTTTCTCATAATTGAAAAGTACGACGTTTATAAATTAGTCGAGTAAAATTTATATACAACGTGATTGTAATAAAATTGTTTAACTATAATGTACACAGGATAATGTGTATATTTTTACATCATGAAAAGATATATTTTTATATACAGTTGACCAGTCCTATAACACAGTAGATACGTTCCGGTTTTTATGAATCCATTTTGTACAAGTCGAGCCAATCACAGCCCGGCACGTATGCAGTTTACGGACTACGGCTGTTTGAAAGGTTTCTTCTATAAAATTCATCGATTCTATACTAAATCGACTCAACATTTCCAAAATACGTATAATTTTTGGGGAATAATCCATATAAACTATGCTATAAACAAAAAAATTGTAGGATTACTTACCGAGCGTGCACCGTTCGACTACGCCATTGCTTAAGCTTGTTTTCGTCGTGGAGATTGTCATCGAATGGCGCTCGCGTGCTTTCTGATAAATTATTTTTTTTGCGAAAAATTCGCTGAAATTTGGAGACATCATTAATATAAATATAATTTTTATGGACGTTAAATAATAAATGGTTTTTAGTAGATCCGCTGTTCGTTTAAACGCAACGGTTTGTACAATATTTGCTATTGATCTAGATTCGACCAATCCTTTATCTTTATTTTTATCTTTATTTACTCCCGATACCACCAGAGCATAATCGGGTTAAATACAGAGAAATATCAAAGCACAGGTAAATACATACATAATAACAGAGAGATAATGTACAAACAGTATGACAATAGAGAAGAAGTATGAACAGATGGTGAGATGACCAATACAAATCAACCGATATGATCCATAACTTGAGAGTAGAATAACATGTACAGGTACAGTAGTATAAAATAGACAATACCAATAGTAATAATAAACATTACACAGATATATGTTGCAGCAGAACAGTAATGATATGTACAATAATGTGCAGGGAGCAAATGAAAATAGTGCCCGATGACAGACTTGACCAACTTAATGAATGACAGCGTATGTGATACTTATGAATCAATTTTTTGAATGTTTTGTAGGTGTCACTATCCTTAATTAATTAAGAAGGACATGAAGTTCACAAGGCCAATTAATACCCCTGTGGCTAAGAGCAAGGGCAAGCTCATGCCTAGCATTCTTGGTCATTGGACACATGTATATATAGTGCTCAACCCCATTATGGCAATTACAGATGGTACAAATGTCCATTGCAGATTTGCCAAACGTCTGTAAGTAGGCCCGGAATCTCCCATGCCAGTGAAGAATTGGGTGGTTTCAAAGTCCGGACTAACCCAGTGGTGAAAAAACTGGTCATGAATAGATGGAAAAAAGTTCCTGGCAAGGCTATTGTAGCTATCCCATCTCTGCAGCCAGAGATCCAAGCTGTATTTCCAATGTTGGGGCTTAAGAAAAGAAGCAGGTAGCACTGAATACTCGAAAGGGCAAGAGGTACTGATTGTTGCAACCTCCCTGGCAAGTAGATCTGCAGGTTTATCACCTAGGACACCCTGATGACCTCTCACCCAGTCAAGGGAATAGGAGTTCTGAGCACAAGGTATATCGTTTAGAATCTTCCTAACCAGAGGGCGAAGGTTGTTGGGATTCCTAAGTGCGTTGATTGCTGAAGCACTATCAGAGCAAATTGTAACTCTACTTCTAGTAAGATTGGCTTCACACCATTGAACAGCCATGTAAATGGCACAGAGTTCTGCCTGGAATATAGAGCAGCTAGGATGAAGAGTGCCAGAATTCTGATATATTTTCTCCTCATTTGCAAAAACGACGATGGCCGAGCCCGTACCCTCTGCATTCTTTGATCCATCTGTGAAGATTATATAATCAGCAGCAACTGTAAAGAATGTGTCAAACCCACTTCTCACTGCTGGATGAGGGAGGTTGGTAAACAGTATATCTGTCTCATAGGTGACTTCAGCATAGGAGGTAGAGTTCATAATTATGTCATGACCTTTCCTAATATGATAAGTACAAGCAATGTGCCTCAAATGAAGATCCAGAGGATGACCTGAAGAGAATAATTTGACGCAGTAGAATATGCTCTTGTGAACCTGAAAAGGCCTGAGAGTTTCCCAGACAGCCACAACACATGAGATAATGGGAATGAAGACCACATTGTAAATACAGTTTGAGGCAGCATAATTAAGCCTCCAAAGTTTTTAGCAATCCTTTGTACGTTATTAAATATAAGAGTAGTTTTATCAGTAATGTGATGGATGTGGAAACCTCAAGACAGTTTATGCTCCAAGACAACACCAAGAAACCTCAAGTGAGGGACAATGTGAATGAATTGACCCTGCATCTTAATGCATGGAGTGCGAGAGTAAAGATGTGGAGAGTAAGCTTTAGTGAAAACGATGCCTTTGGTCTTGTTGGAATTAAACCGTAGCTTATTACAACTGCCCACTCACTGACCACAGTAAGGACAGCAGTAGCCCTAGTCTCGAGATCACGCCTCGAGTCTCCAGGAATAAGGAGAAAAGCATCATCAGCATAAGCCAGAGCACTAACATGCTTGCCAAAGTCAGTGTAGAGAAAGTCATTAAAAAGGATACACCATAGGAGAGGGCCACAAGCAGTGCCCTAAGGGCAGCCACTCTCCAAATGATGGAAAAAGTGTTAGTACCTGACCTTAAAATGGCCTCCCTGTTGGAGAGGAAATCCCTGGTTAGCTAGTAAAGATTAGCTGGACACCTGCTCCCTCACAACCTGTATAGAATAAGAGGCCGCCAGCAGAATTAAAAGCATTCTCCAGGTCGAGACTAATTCCCAGAACATATTTAAATGATGAAAGGAGTTCACATACTTTGGATGTAAGGGCCATCAAAGCATCAACAGTGCCATGTTGTCTTCTAAAACCAAATTGAGAAGGGTGAAGATATCTGGTAGACTCCAAATGCCAAGTAAGTCTGTTACACAAAAGTTTGTCAAGGACTTTACCCAGGACAGACAGAAGTGAGATGTTGCGAAGGTTGCTAGTGGTTTATGGCAGAGATTTATCCTTAGGAATCAAGGCAAACTGAGCCA